AAGAAAAGATGAATAATACAATATTTTATCGATAATATAGTTTTCATCAACTAATATATATAAATTCTGCATTTGGACCAAAGTACTAGGCTTATAATTGCTTTTAAACACTAAGTCACTATGACATTGGGTTTAACCCTGCTGAAGACAATCTATAGAACCTGTAAAAAAACTAACACACAACTCTCAATATAACTGAACCTTTCTAAAAAGACTTTTTAATTGTCTGTGTTATCTTGTCTGAGTTTTAAGGGGGAAAAGGGAGCTTTTTTTTTTCTTTTTCAGGGAAATTTCACTGAAGTCACATAAAGACAGCACCTAATCCAGGCCTAATAAAGGAATTTTGTGAAATAGTAAATTATAAACAGATTCCACATTAAGCAAATTATATGTCTCTCAGGAATATCTGTCTCCTTTGTGTAATTATGTAGACGGACCAGTAAGTTTAATTAAGGTTACTTCCAAGTTAGTGCACATAAAGTCTCAGACTGAGATCATCAAAAGAAATACATGAGGAGACATTCCTTATTGATGGCGACAACAGAGGAAACTTTTCACACAATGAAACAAAGGTCTCTCTGGCATCAAAAATGAGACAGTGAGGAGGATCATACTTTACCATTAAACATGCATCTATTAAATAAAACCACTTACTGTGAAACAGCTCTTAAAGACAACCCATTTCACTTTGGCCATTAATTGGCAGCACTTTTCAGGAATCAGAACAGAATGCTTGGATTTATTATTGGATTGATATATAATATTTTGTTCAGAATCATATATATGATAAATAATCTAAGAATGCCATCCTATCGGTGTCAAAATCTTGTTTTGGTTTTTCTGTTGTACTTATAGAGGACATTTTTTCTTTGGTCTTTTTCTCATTGGCTTTGTGTCTCTTAATCAAGCAGTTTCCTTCTTTGTTTAGGAGGGAGATCTTCCCTAGTAGAGCCTCTTCTGGTAAGATGGCCAGAGTTGGCAAGCTTCATCAGCCACTCCCACTGCTTCTTCTCTCCCCTAAATAACATCAGCCTCTTGGCTTGCTTCCCTACCCAATCCTTGCTTTCTTGTCGCCATAAGAGCCTCATTCCACCTGAGAAATGGCATCTGTCATGGATGTGCAAGAACAGGCATGAGTTCCTAGAAGGTAGCCTTGCCCAGAGCAAAGTGCCAAGTGTTCAACTGCACAGATCAGCCAATGGGATTCCACTATTGCTAAGAGACCCACTGGTCATTCCAAGACTGATTGTTCCTCCTGCCAGAGTGTTTCCCATCAGACATGTCAAACACAAGGCCCAGGGGCCGGATGCAGCCCGCGATGTGGTTTCATGTGGCCCGTGAAGCCATCCTGGAAACAGTGAGGGAACGGCCTCCACTGCCTTCGTCCTGGCCCAGGCCAGCCGGGAGCCAATGTACAATTTTGTGGTGGCCATCTATGCTGAAACGCATTCAGTCTTAGCTCCATAACCCCCCCCCCCCGCATGGCCTGAGAGGAACAGTGGGGCTACTCCAGTGGACCATGCCTTGGCACTTGCCCCGGTCCTATCTCTTCTGCCAGAGACCCTCAGATCTGTCCCACTCCTGCCCAGGCCCCCACAGGCACCCTTAACACGAACAATGTAGAGCTGGCCACGCCCACCCAGTAGGCCACACCCACTCCATCCACACCCACCCAGTAGGCTGCACCCACCCTGCCACCCCCCCCCCGAGAGCAACTACAATGCTGATGCGGCCCTCAATGAAATTGAGTTTGACATCCCTGGTCTAGATGGCACTCAGAGTTAGAGGATATTGTTGTTGCTGTTTGATTTTGGGACCCCCAGTTTACTAGATTTCAGACTTAAGTTCTCCATAAATATTTGAGCATTACAGAGGAATTCTTTAAAAGGACATTGCTTCTGCAGTGTACGATTGTGATAAGATTAGGGAATGTATATTATAAAAATGATTGAATAAATTACAGGAAATTTAAATAATAGCAAGGATACAAAGGTCAGGAAAAAATTGTGTCTAACACAAGGCACACCTCCAATGTTTCCAAAGCATCAGGTTTTTAATTTTTAAAATATTAATTTGTTTTGATTTTATTTATTTTAATTTTTTATTATTTTTTTTATAAATAACACAAGGCAGCGAACATTCCTAATACTCTTCCTCCTATTTTCATCACAACAACAAAGTGAGATGGGTTGGACTGAAAAAGAATGACTAGTCCAAAGTCTTCCAGTTGGCTTTCATGCCTAACATGGGACAAGAACTCAGTCTCTCAGTTCCTAGACTGATGCCTTACCTATTAGACAACTGACCAGCTGCAGTTCAGCCTTAGGATGAATTAAGTTTCTTAGAAATCTGCCTAAATTAATTAATTTATGTATCTGTATGAGTGTCTCCTAGCCATTTCTTCATGATTAAGGAAGCTGATTTCTCATTATAAATCCTGACTCCCAAGCCACGATTTGCAAACCTGACTTTGCTTGTTGAAAGCTGGCTTGGAAGGTTGCAAATGGCAATCAAATGACCCCAAGATGCTGCACCCCTTGTAAACACATACTGCTTGCCAAGTGCCCCAATTTTAGTCAGGTGACTGTGGGGTTGCTGTAACAATCGTTAAGCACAAGGACCAATCATAAGTAACTTTTTTTTAGTGTGCTGTAACTTTGACCATTTGCTAAATGAATGGTTGTCAATCAGGGACCACCTGTAATGAATCTCTTATAGATTTCTCTGTTGATAGGAATAACTTCAATTGCTGATAATTAGAATTTAGTTTTATTTGTGGAATGTATTTTCCACCCAATCTTAAAATGCTGCTTCACTGCATTTCTTAATTGCAAACAACCCCTATCCTGAAGTTCATTCCAGTTTGTCCCAAAGCATTCCAAATCACAGCTGGTAGCTAGCTGTGTAGGTTCCTGCTGGGTTACTGGAAAAGTGCTTCTCTTTTCATGTTTCCATTGACACTCCTAAAGCTCCCATCTGAAGGGAGTGATCATACTATATATAGCTTTGTTTTATGAAGGTGCTGGATTGAAAGTCTGCAAACTGATGTTCTTCGTTAAACTACAAAGCAAGAACAACAATGCACAGCTGCAGTATAAGCTTGCCTTCTGCCATACAAATACACACACACACACACACACACACACACAGACACCTCCACCACCCCGATCCTGTGTCTCAGTCAGTCAGCCTGAGTAAGGCAAATCTGCCCACAGAAAGTTCAAGCCTTGTCAGGACAACATAAAGACAGCACCTATTGCTTTGCAATGCACTTTCAAGAAAACAGAAAGTTTCCAAAGAAAAGTCATCCTTAGCAGAGAACTCTTTCGTAATATTCACACGCTTGCTGATACTTTTGTTTTGCTTTTAAAGTAACTTTCAGTTCTTGTTTTACAATACAAACCATGGGAAACCACATGAGTTATGCGAAACCAGCAAAGCAGGCGATAGGAAGAAGTTACTTTAGTTACCTTGGCCAGAAAAGTTATTTCCTTGCAAGGACAAAATGAATACTGTAAGACAATACAGTTATCTTTTCTTCTATTGTTTAGAAGACACTGATTTTCAAAACCATCCTGGCAGAATGTAAATCAGGAGACAGAAGTTCTACCCTAAATACAATGTGATTTTGGCTTCATAGTAACTTTAAAAAAATATGCCGAAATCCAGTGCTTTTTTTCTAAAAAAAAAAAGGTGCCGGAACTCACACATGTCATACAACCCGCCTTGCCTACCCTACAAGGTTCCATCCAAAAAAGGTGCCGGAACTCCGTTCTGGGCATTCTATGAGAAAAAAAGCCTTGCCGAAATCATTATGAAAATGAAAAGTTCTTAAGAATCTCTCTCTCACTCACACATACATTCACCCACCCCTCCATTACCATAATTTCTTGGGGAAAGGCAAAAAATAAAATGTGATTGTGTCCAGTTATTTCATTTTTTCTTTTTTAGTGTGAGAAAAAACAACTTACTTTATCACACTGAAGGCTTTACTCGACCTGGCTTTTATAACTATTGTATCTTCTAATCTAAATCAGGTAATAATATTTTAACAATCAATGGTACATTCCAGCCTTCCCTAGCTTAATGCATTCCAGGTGTGATGGGATGACACATACCTGGGAGTTAGTACTCCTTCCAGGATTGATTTCTGTGTAGACTTGCCTAATGGATGGAACTATCAGCAACCTCACATGGAATAAGGTAAACTCTCCACTGACTTACGAGAAGAAGAGAGAGTGACTTGCAAAACAGATGTGCCATTCACTCTTATGTGTTATACTGTTATAACATTGCCATGAATCAGAAGCTCAAGGTACATTCTGGATGCAGTGCAGGGAATAAGTGAAAATAATCAATTTACTTGTAATTATTTCCGCAAGAAAATGGGCACAATGAACCAAGAAAGTTTGAGAACCTCTGCCTAACCTACTATTTTTAATCAATGATACATAAACATGTTACATTTATTGAAACCAGAAATTTAGATTATGTTTGCAAATCTGTCTGCAATGACCTATTAAACTCCATTGGCATGAAGTTTGAGACATTTTTTTAAAAAATAAGGACATAGAATAAAGACTGATGCCTAAAAATGACACGAGAGAAGATATTACATATAAAAAGACTGAGACATATACATTGACTCAGCATTAAAGCTGCACTCTAAAACCATACTTATTTTCTATCTTCTTACTACTCAAAAGAATAAGAACCCTGTAGTTTCTTTGAGGAATAAATGCTGAGATACTTGAGATGCTAAATATTGCATATTAGATGTTAAGCTCCCACAGTGAATTCATACTGGGAACAAAATAAGACATAGACTTGATTATAAAGAACTGGAATAGCAAATGATAGACCCTTCTTTTAAAATGAATGTTCAGAACCAAACCCTAATCTACCAATATGCAGCTCATTATAATCTCTTGAAACACACCATTGTTTTAAACAACTGTTATATTAATTTATTAAATATATATTCTTTCTTTATTTCTTACCTATCAAGGAGCAATTCCAGAACTTCCTTTGTAGATGCAAATCCTCGGTATGTTGACAGAAATATGCTGATGTAGGTAAAGTCATTGTCCCCAAATGCTGTCAATAAATTTTCTACAAGCTTCTCTAGAGTGCCTGCCTTTATTGTCCTGATCTTACAAGTTTCATATTGGCTGACAGTGTGTCCTGGCGGAAGTTGGTCCCCTTCAACCTGTGTTAATAGACAAATCAAGAAAAAGTGGGGGGCAAGAATTATTAAACTCTTAATGGTAGAAATGGGGCGTTGTCTTACCTGAACGCCTTTTCTCAGCAGGATGATGTAGAGTCCAAATGGATGGGTTCTATGACGGCCTTCCTGCCTGGCAGACTGGGTAAAAACTTCGGCCACACCCCTTCCTTTGGGCGTGACCCCAGTTTTGACTTAGGCGAGAAACTTTGTTGGAATTAACCTTGCAGCTCTTTATTATATCTTTATTATATCCCTGCCTAGACCTATCCTCTGGGTGGGCTTGGACTCTACATCATCCTGCTGAGAAAAGGCGTTCAGGTAAGACAACGCCCCTTCTCCAGCAGGATGGCTGTAGAGTCCAAATGGATGGGACATACCAAAGCCCTCATGTCCCCCTGGGAGGGAATGTCTAGGCTACCGAACTCTGAGCAGATACGACTTGTTGAAGAACTCTTCTGCCAAAAGCCGCGTCTGCTGCTGCTAGGGAGTCTAAACGGTAATGTCGAATAAAAACCGAAGGTGAGGACCAGGTTGCGGCCCTGCAAATCTCTTCCACCGGAGCTTGCGTTAGCCACGCCGCAGATGTAGCTGCGCTCCGAGTTGAGTGAGCAGTCACCTGAGTGGGTGCTGGCAAATCCTGTGAGACGTAGGCCTGCGCTATGCAGGCTCTGATCCACCTGCCTATGGTGGAAGGAGATACCTTCTTTCCCATAGTTGCTGGTTGAAAGGACACAAATAATGCTTCAGTCTTTCGGAAAGCCGAGGTGCGTTTCACGTAGAAACACAGCGCTCTCCGCACGTCCAGCTTGTGCCATCTGTGTTCTAGTCTATGTTTGGGTCTTGGACAGAAATCAGGAAGCGAAAGTTCCTGAGATCTGTGAAAGATGCTATTTACCTTCGGAATGAAGGTCGGGTCTGGTCTAAGAACGACCCTGTCTTTGAAAAAGGTACACAGATCCTTCCTTACTGACAGTGCTGCTAGTTCTGAGATTCTTCTTGCTGAAGTAATTGCCACAAGGAAAGCTACCTTCAGTGATAGGTGATGGAGTGAGCATGTTTCAAGAGGTTCGAAGGGTGCTGATGTCAAGGCTAGAAGGACCTTAGGCAGGTTCCAGGACGGGTACCTGTGTATGACTGGGGGCTTTGTGTTAGATGCCCCTTTTAAAAAGGCATTAATAGCTGGATGCTGTGCTAGGGAAGTTAAGTTGTCGCAGGAGAGTACAGTTGAGAGGGCCGATATCTGTCTGCGGATAGTATTGACTGACAGGCCCTTATTAAGACCCTCCAGTAGGTAATCTAGGATATTGGGAATAGATACTGCGGTCGGGTCTAGGTGAAGCGAAGCGCACCACCTACAAAATCCCTTCCACGTAGCGTCATAAATCCTATTAGTGGACGCTCTTCGTGATGCCTGTATGATCGATATCACCCCTGCAGAATAAGATTGTTTAGTTAAGCTTTGCCGCTCAAATGCCAAGCGGCTAGTTGTAGCCACTGGGGATCTGGGTGTACAAGCTTGCCCTGACTGAGTTTTACCTTGTCCGGGGGGATCCTCCACGGAGGTGATATCGAAAGGTCCACGAGGTCGGCAAACCACGGGCGCCGTGGCCAGTGAGGGGCAATGCAGACCATTTCTGCGCCCTCCAGGATCATCTTGCGTATGGTTGCCGGTATTAATGGCAGTGGTGGGAAGGCGTACAGGAGTTGCGCCGGCCACCGGCACCTGAGAGCATCCGTTCCCTCCGATCCCGGGGACGGGAATCTGGAGAAGAACCTGGGGAGCTGTGTGTTCTTGTGGTTGGCAAATAGATCTAGGTGCGGTTGTCCGAACCTCCGGGAGATCTCCTCGAAGAGAGCCGGGTCCAGACGCCATTCCGACTGGTCCACCTTGGCTCTGCTCAGGGAGTCTGCCTGGGTGTTTGTCTCCCCTGAGATGTGTTCCGCTCTGATGGAACTCACATTGGCTTCTGCCCACCGAGACAGAGCCAATGCTTCCTTCATTAGTTCCACTGATTTCGTTCCTCCCTCCTTGTTTACATGCGCCTTGGCTGCTACATTGTCTGTAAGCACGAGGACGTGCCTCCTCGTTACTAGGTGTGAGAAATGACGGAGGGCCAGGTGTATGGCCCGGAGCTCTAGCCAGTTGATGCTGTGTGACAGGTCCTTCTGACCCCACTGGCCCTGTGCTATCTGGGTCCCCAGATGGGCTCCCCATCCGAACAGGCTCGCATCTGTCGTGAGCGTGACCCTGTTCGGTTCCCTGAATATGCTCCCCTTGAGTGTCATGGGGGATAGCCACCATTTTAGTGATTTCATCACCTGTGCTGGTACCGGCACTCTCCTGCTGGAGGTGCTGAGGTTCCTCCTCTGGTAGGGTAGGAGGAACCACTGCAACTCCCTCGAGTGGAGCCTTGCCCATGGGATGATGCCCATGCAAGATATCATCTTCCCCAGGAGCTTCGAGAGTTGTAGCAAGGGCACTCTCCTGATCTTTTGAATTTGGTGGATTAGCTTGGATATGCTGATCAGTCGCTCCTGGGAAAGGAATACCCTGCACTGTGACGTGTCTATCACCGCGCCCAGGTGTTGCAGTCTCCTTGAGGGAATGAGGTGGCTCTTGTTTAGATTGACCGAGAATCCGTGCCCCTGTAGGGTTCGGATCGTGGTCTTGAGATCTGCCCTTGCTTGTTCCTGAGATCTGGACTGAATCAAGATGTCGTCCAGATAAAACTGTACGCGAACCGGCATCAGCCTGAGATGGGCTGCTATTACAGCTAGGATTTTGGTAAATACCCTTGGTGCTGAAGATAGTCCGAAGGGTAAGGCCCTGTATTGGTAATGCCGGCCCGCGTAGGTAAATCTGAGGACTTTCCGGTAGCTGGGATGGATGGGAATGTGTAGGTACGCCTCTGTGAGATCTATTGAGGATAATAGATCGTCTTCCCTGACGCTGGCTAGGATGGACTTCAATGAGTGCATCTTGAACTTCCTGTACTTTATGAAATGATTCAGGCCCTTCAGGTCCAATATTGCTCTCCACCCTCCTGATGTCTTTGGAATAACGAAGAGGATGGAATAAAATCCTCTTCCCTCCTCTTCCTTTGGTACCCTCTCTATGGCTTGAATTGACAGGAGGTGAGCTATGGCCGAAGTTATCAGCCTCGTCTTGTGTACCTTTCTGGAGATGGGGCATCTGATGAACCGGCTTGGTGGGGGAGAACAAAAGTCTAAGGTCAGGCCATGCCTGATCGTTTCCAAGACCCAGGCGTCGGTGGTGGTCTGCTCCCAGACCTCGATGAAGTTTCCTAACCGACCCCCGATGGGAGTGTCCTGTTTGGCGTCACTTGGTACGCTTAAAGGATCTGCCTCCCGCTCCCCTATATGGGCGTCTGGACTGGAACTGGCCTCTGGCTCCCGGGCTTTGGCGATCCTGGGTTCGATCCTGTCTCGGATAGAAGGATCGTGAGCCTCTGGGCCAGTCCCAGGATTGCCCTGATCGAAAGGGCTGTCTCCATTCCCAGGGGCTTCCTGGGCGGGAGCCCTGTCTCCGGAAGTCCTGACTGCCTCTCCTGTCTAACTTCTTTGATGGATGCACTAGGATTTTTTTCTTGTCTCTGCCTTCGCTGACGTGTGGGTCCAGAATGGAACCAAACAGGGCTTCTCCACTGTATTTGGACGTCGAAAGACGCCATTTGGACCTCAGGTCTGTCTTCCAATTTTTGAGCCACAGTAGCCTTCGCGAGGCCACTGTGGCCGCAATGGACCTTGCCGCATACTTTGTTGCGTACAGTGAAGCGTCAGACACGAATTGAGAGGCCGCGAGGAGCTTGGCCAATGTTTGGTGTACTCTGACCTGGTCTGGAGGCACCGTGCCTTGCAGTTCCCTCAGCCACATGATACTGGCCCTCGCGAAGAATGATGATGAAGTGGCTGCTCTGGCCGCCCAGGCTGCGGCCATATGGGAACGCCGGAGGGAGTGTTCAAATTTCTTCTCCTCAGGTCTCAAGACCTCCGCCATGTCTCCTGGAATCGCGGAGGTAGAAAATAATGAGATCAAGGGGTTATCTACAGTGGGAACCTCTAACATGTTAGAGAAGGAGGGAGATAGGTTGAAAAGCTTTCTTTCCGCGCTGTTAGGTGCCGGTGGGCTCGCAAGTGAGGACCATTGTTCCTCCAGCGTGGTCATAAAGACCTCCGCACATGGGATGTACTTATCCTGTGGAACCTTTTTGGCAAATAGAGGATTGGCCTCCTTGCTTGTTGAGGGCTTCTCATCCTGTACTGATGTTAGGTTGACTGTGGAAACTGCCTTTATCAGGAGTGATTTTAGGAGCGCTGGGTTAAAGAGGCCAGAGCTTGTCGCCTGCTCAGGTGCGGTCTCCTCGTCCTCCGAGAGGGGCATGTCTGACATGTCCAGGTCTACTGAGTCACCCTCTCCCAATTGAGAGGAAGTTTCAGAGATGCTGGTAGGGGGCGGCCTAGCCCGTCCCTTACGGGGTGTGTGAAAGGCCACTTGCCCCTTAGAAGCCATGAACTGGGAGAATGCATCCTGCATGAATGCATGAAATTGTGCCGACCATATGTTCTCCTGCGCCTTGTCGTTGGGGTGAGGCGCTGGAGTGTGGTCGGGTGAAGAAGCTGGTGAGGAGGGATTGGAGGAATCTAACTGTTCAGTTTCCCCAGGAGGAGACCAAGTCTTGAGCACTTCCTCGGCAGTAGGTTCTGTGCTGGGTGCCACCCCTGGGACAGGGGAAACCAAATTTGTCCCATTGACATTGGTTCTCTGTGCTCTGCTAATTTGCCTTTCTAAAGCCAAATGTCTCCTCAAAGCCTCTCGCTCAGCCGTTTTGGACTGTCCCTTCTGAGAAAGGTGCTTTGTTTTAGCTTTCTTCTTCCCCCCCACCTCTGATTCAGAAGATCTGCGTTTTTGTTGTTGCTGTGGGGGGGACAATTGAGGGACCTGTGTGACTGAATACGAGACA